CCAACCACTGACGCAACTCAGTGGGGTTCTTTGGTGACGGCCATGCGCAGATAGAGGACACCTTCTCCGGGTCGACGCGAACGCCGTCCTTGCCCACGAAGCAGCCCAGCACCGGAATCTCCGGCGCGCAGAAGATACACTTCTTCAGGTTCGCGTACAACTTGTTCTCGCGCATCACTTGGAAGACCTGTTTTAAGTGCCTCAAGTGGACTTCTATCGCGCTGAGACCATCCTCAGCGCGGCTGTGCACGAAGATGTCGTCGAAGTAGCTCGGTGCGAGGTCTCGAAGCGGACGCAGCACATGGGAGACCATGCGATTGAACGTGGCGGGAGCATTCTTCAAGACTTGTGGCATCACAAGCCACTCCCAGAGCATACCGCTGGGGGTGCTGACCACTGTCAGGGGGATGTCGCTCGTTCTCATCAAGATCTGATAGAATCCATCGGTCAAGTCGATGGCGCTGAAGACGACGCTGCCCGCCATGGTGTCGAGCACCATGTCCTTCCGGGGAATTGGGGTTTGCGCGGGGATGGTCGCATTATTCAACTTGTTAAAGGCATGAACGATGCGCCATCCGCCTGTGGCCTTCTTCACACAGAACGTTGGGCTCGAATGTGGAGAGACACTCTCACGCACGTGACCCGCTTTACGGCGATTCTCGAAGAAGTCGTCGATGGCCTTGACTTGGTCTCGCGGCAGCGGCCACTGCCGCGTCACACAGTACTTCGAACCGGGCGCGAGATCGATCTCGTGGCGGACGCCTCGATCGGCAGGCAGTTCGGCTGGAATCTTATCGGGAAAGACGTCCGCGTATTCGCGGACGGTCTCGTACACTGGATTACCAGACTCGCGCAAGGACTCCCAGGACTGCGCTGCGAATCGCTCCTCGCGAGCGGACTTCGGTTCGGCGCTCTTGGGACGGGTGGATCCGTCGTCATCACTGACGGTGTTCCCTTCGAGTGGCGTAGACGAAGTGTCTGTGATCAGGCAGACCTGCTCAACCTCACCAACCTTGATACCACGAAGGAAGTTCTTCCAGGAGAGACCTGGAAGCCGGGTGATCGATTGCGCGTCGCGAGGTGGACACACAAGATCGACGGTGCGCTGACGGTCCATGCCGTCGTCCACGTGCTCAATGACACAGACCGACTCCGTCTGTGAGATGCCGCTCGGTGCAGTTTCACGTCGTGGCTTCAAATGACGGCGCTTCGACTTCTTTGCCCGGCGCCTCGAGTGTGTACTCGAGGAGGAAGAATCGCTCTCGCTGGACGATGTATCACCCCGCTCTAGGCACTGAAGCTCACTCTCGACTGTGCCGGTCACACGCGGGGGCCACTGCTTGACCGCGTGGTCGTTCGGCGGGAGCTCCAACTGCTCGACCACCGGCTCGGGTGACGGGAGCCTCGACTGCTTGACCGCCGTGTTGCATTGCGGGAGCCCATGCTCGACCGCCATATTGTGCTGCGGGAACTCATGCTCAACCGCTGTGGTGCGCCGCGGAAACCCATGCTCGACCGCAGTTGTGCGCTGCGGGAACCCATGCTCGACCGCTTGCTCGTATTGCGGGAGCCCCTGCTCGACCGCCATCGTGTTCTTGCCCTCGCCTCGCGGCGAGGAGTCTTCGTGCAACAGCACTGCGCAAGCCGTGCAGAGAGGGCCATCGCTCACTCTGTGTCCAGCCTGCGTCGTGGACGACCGGTCCACGACGGTGACGTGGGGCCAGTCCTTCTGGGCAACCAGGAGGTGGGTGAACACCTCGCTCACGTCGAAACCGCTGCGGTGTTTAACCGAGCGGGCCAACCAGTCAATCTCTGGTTGATACCGTGACAACCACGGGATGCCCAGGATGCAATCGAATGCGTAGTTCATCTCAATCACGAGGAAGTCGTCATTGCTGCGAAAGCCGTCGAAAGTGTACGGCAACGTAATCTCGCGCCGCGCGACGTGGCGCGGCTTTCCGTCAGCAAGCTTGACTACAACCTGTCCGCGACCGTTGCGGACAGCGATTTCGCTGGGATACGTCGACAAACACGACTCACGGAAGAAGTTGTTTGTCGCTCCTGAGTCCACAAGCGCGCGTAGTGGACGTCGGGCGCCGGCGACATGGAGGCTGATGATGGTCAGTCTTGAGTCGCCCGACGCTGTGGTGGCATTGAAGTGTGCGTGTAGCACGCGAGGGCTAGAAGGTTGGGTTGCCACCGGGGGACCCGGACCTCCATTCCAGCCAGTAGGGCGCCCCGCACCTACTGGCCCTGACCGTTTTTTGGCTGATCGGTAGGAGAGGCATCGACAGTATGCGTGAGCACTGGCGCGGGCGCGCGGCACTCAGCCGCGCGATGTCCAACCTTCCGACAGCGGAAGCAAGTGAGGGATCGACTGGGACGACCACCATTCGCGCGAGGGACTGCACGACGGCGGTTGTTCGACGCGTCAATCGCGTCGATCTCCATCGGCTCCGGAGCTGACTCTTGAGCTACCGCGGGTATTGCCCGCGCGTACGACGCCGCCACTACGTAGTCTTCACGAAGTGCGAGAGCAAATGCCTCCTCGAGTGAGGAGGGTTCCGCTCGAGTCAGACAGTATCGCGTCATGCCTTCACGCATGCCGAACACGAAGACGTGGACTTGAGATGCCATGTCAATCGGATTGGTGACGATGCAGGACGCGAGGTGGCGTGTCTTCTGGACGTAGTCGCGCATGGTCATCTTGCCTTGTCGCAGAGCGAAGAACTCTGCGCGCACTCGGGACTCGTCTTGTGGAGGCTCGAAGGCGAGACGAAGATCACTCTGGAGGGCCTCCAGGGTGGAGAACGCATCGTTGTTTACGACCAGTTTGCCGAGTGCCCACTCCTTGGCTTTCCCGGCCAGTCGGGAAAGTAAGAAGTTAACTTTCGCTCCTTGCGCCTCGATCATCCTCGAGGCGATAGCGATGTCGACTTCGCGAAACCAGCGATTCAACGGAAGGCGATTCGCTCCTTCACCGGAGTAGGCTGACGTTTCCAACTTGACGATGTCATTCCTCGAGGAACGCGAGGGAGTTGTCGCTCGCCGATTCGCGTCGGCGAGCTCGCGTTCCATGAACTCTTGAGCTGCTTGACGTTGTTGATCGGGAGTCGCTGAGCTCAGCAGCGACGCGACAACAGCCTCACCGGACACCGCCGCAAGGCGGTGAAAGGCTTCCCACTCGACACGAGTGAGATGAGGGAAAGCAGCATGCTCCAGGGTTGGCCCTGAAGCTTCAGACGTCTGGCCTTGGCTCATTGTGAACTTGGTCATGGGAAGGACTACAAAGTGCTACCAGGTGTAACGGGCCTAGAGTGTCCGTTACTAGCTTACACGTAATAATGAGGAAGCGTGCAAGTTCCGCGATAGTGAAACCAAGTGCTTAGTCTGAAGGAAAATCAACTCTGTTTTTATTTAGGTCCAGGGCAGCTTGCCCTGACCACTCAAATACACGTCAAACCCTTATTGGGTGATAATGGGTCTGGCTCCCCATATATCAACCAATAGGATGACGGCAGTTCAGCACACGCTAGCCGTGTGCTGCTGCACCTACTTTTGTAATATAAATCTACCTACTTATGTAATGGCGTGGCCCACTACATCTTTAAAGCCCCGATAATCGTACGTATCCTATCGAATAAGGAGGGATGACCTCACAACCTAATTGCTTCTCGAATTGTGGCTTGGCAGGGAGGGATGAGGAAAGGAGCGCTCTAGGAGGCGCCAAATACCCTCCTCCAACAGTGTTTAGTGCGGTGGATAGCTCTCGTATACGCCTGCTAGGTAGACAGCACAATTTGAATGAAAATGCGCGAATTTCCTAGTAGCGTAGAGCCGAAACTAACTCCCATTTTGGACTTTATAAAACTATAGTGTTATTCCTCTCGCATCCATTTAGCGGTGCTGTAACGACTTTAGTAAGTAGTAGTGCCAGCGCGTATTACGTGTCAGTATATATATATATATATATATAATATATTTATATATACGTGCTGCTATTATTCCGGGACACACGATTGCGGGACAGTTTGTTAATATAGGAATAAGTATACTGCACCATAAAAATGTCCAGCATATAAAAATGGCAATATCGCACTGATAGAGCGCAGCTACCATAATGATAAACTAGTGGCAGAGGGTTTTGCTGTGCTCGCACAAATCTGCATTATGGCTGCAACATTATCGAAATGAGTTTGATCACACTTCAATCTCTGGCAGGTTGGTCACTGATTACAGTACATATGTTCTTCCTATACAAAAGCCAAGTATTTTATTGAGTATCCAACTGTAGCTTCGACGTCTCAAAGGACACTCTGTTTGAAACGTTGAAAATAGATGGATAGAGCCACAAACACATGAAATTGGACCCCGACATGTGGACTGGGTTAATTCGAAAAAACCAATTCACATCACTTACAAATCGTCAGAAAAAATGGATAATTTTTACAAACACCAAGTGAAGTGGAAATCCTTCCAGTGTCCCGAAATAGTGTTTGAATAAAAAGCAGTTTTTTTCAGCTATACATCTAGCTGTCTGTGTGAGAAGGACGGCAAAAAAAACCTGTGGACAAACTGCGTGTGCTTTATATTTGCTAAATATGCTTCAGCTGCGTCAATAGCAAACCTAGAACCTATTTTGGGGGCTCCTCAAAAAGTGTCCTATCTGTGGCAGCTCAAGTGGATTGGTACTGTAGCGTTTTTGTCGACAAAAGTACATTCGGCAACGACATAAATTTGCTGGAGTTGCTTTTATGTAGTCTTACCCCAATTCGTGTACGGCGCTGCAATTGAAAGATATTGACACGGACATATTGCAGATATCAACCGTTTTGGCTTTAGTTACTAACATGTACTTCGAAGGAATTAGGCTATGTTTTGTTCAGATTGACTGATTGATTGACATCGATGCCATTCTTCAGGTTACAAAGTGTATTCTCTCATTCCTCAACACCCCCAGTCAAGCTCACGCTACCAGAAATACTGACCACTGGCCCAAAATGGCCAGTCTTCTCTCATTCCTCAACGCCCCCAGTCAAGCTCACGCTACCGGAAATACTGACCACTGGCCCAAAATGGCCAACATTGTTAAGAACGGCTTGTTCGCCCATGTTAAGGCTCAAGAAGAACGAAAACTGGTCGACAAGCTTCGTGATATTGGCCTTGGTCAGTACATCGAACTACCGCAGATTGCAGTCATGGGAGACACTTCCAGTGGCAAGTCGTCTCTACTGTCGGCACTTTCAGGTGTATCCTTCCCGTCGAACGATCAGCTCACAACTAGATGTCCCACCCAACTCAATTTGACCCGCGCCGACGCTTTCCGTGGTACCGTCAGGCTCATCCGGTTCCAGTCGAATAGTGACAGCGACGAAGGCGAAGAGAAAAAAGACCTCAAACGACTGGAAGACGTCCCCGATGCCATCATCAAACTCACTCAGAAACTCGTCGATGAAGGCCAGAGCATCAGCGACGATCAGATCGTGATCGAGATGTGTGGGCCTGAATTGCCCAATCTCACACTCACTGACCTTCCAGGTCTAGTGCGCACGGTTGATGACCATGAAGACCAGGATATCATTCCGAGAGTTCGGCAGATGGTAAACCGATTCATGAAACAGGAGCGAACTGTGATCATTGCTGTTGTACCAGCCAATGTGGACATGCACAATACCGAGATCCTACAGGCAGCCCAAGAAGCTGATCCAGATGGTACACGTACCATTGCAGTGGTGACAAAGCTGGACTTGGTGGATGCTGGTGCTGAGTTGTCGGTACACGAATTGCTGTTGAATAAAAAGAAAAAAATGCGTCTGGGCTACCACGCCGTGAAGTGCCGTAACCAGCGTGAGTTAACCAAGGGAACGAGCATCGAGAAAGGATTGGCAAACGAGATGACGTTCTTTGGTCAGCATGAATACTGGAGTCGGTTGCCTGCACATCTGTGGGGCGTTCAGAGGTTAACGGATCGATTGGTTGCAATATTGCAAGATAATATTCGACGTTCGCTGCCGCAGGTGGTCACAGAGATCAGCGCCCGGATCGCTGAGACGCAGAAATCCTTATCAAGTTTGGGGACACCGCTGGAAACACCTGGTGCTCAGCGCCAGCAGTTTGGCAAATGGGTTGACCAGTATCTGCGTTTGATGGAAGCCTCAATGGATGGACGGTACGAGCTACTTCCGACGTCAGTAAAGCCTGGTGACGCAGTTGCTGGCAACAAAAACGCTCGACTACGTGCTGTACTACGTGCGGAGGAAGCTGCTTTTCAGGAATCCATCAGTAAAACGAAAGACCACGTTACCGGAGCTAAGAGCTCGAAACTACAAGAAGAAGTTGCGGTCGGGGACTTTGTGCAGTGTGAAATCGACGGAATCTGGCGAAGTGGTCGCGCTAAAGAGATCAACGGAACGGATATTTGCTGTCACGAACTTAATCAATGGAAGTCAAAGAAACACTGGCGCTTTGACGAAATGGCTGTGCTGAAACAGTTTATTCGCGAAAACCGTGGCGACGAGCTGGCGATTTTCACATCGTACCAAGTCTTTTGCAACTTATTTCGGCAGTGTGTGGACAAGTGGGCGCCACCGACGGAAAAGCTTTTAGGTGTTTATCGAAGTCAGACAAAGGTAGTGTCGGACTTTGTGTCCACTGAGGTCCATGCTAGCTCGCGAGTCGTGCAGTTTATTCAAAGTGCAGCTGCTGACGTTCTCGATCGCGTTGTCGACGCTGCTCATCACGAGATGGACATACTGCTGAGTGCTGAAGGCCGGCCGTACACTCAAGACGAACGTTTGTTTGCGGACTTGGACCAACAGCGATTGCAAGCTCTTCAGGAACACGTGAAGACAGCTGTTCGTGCCGATACAGCCGGAAGAGTGTTACTCAGCGATGTTATGAAGGCCGTTCAGGCGGTAACACTCTCTGCGGAAGATCGAGAGGCGCATGAGATGCAGGCGGCACTCCAAGCTTACTTGAATGTGGCAGTTCCTCGATTTGTGGACGCCGTCCCGATGCGACTGAATGATTTGGTTCTGCGCAAGTTCGTCACTGAAATGACCAACGAGCTCAATGGATTGACGGATGAGAAGCTGGCGAGGTTGATGCAGGACTCCGAGCATATAATGACAGAGCGTCGACAACTGAAGGACGAACTTGCGTGTCTTGCTAACGCAAAGAAGGAGATTGAGCTCGCGTGCTAACGAATGGTGATCTAGCAGACATTTAGTCACAATAACGAATTCGCAACAGTCCGTTGATTTGCGTCGACTTGTGCGATGCTTTTATAATACAAAGTCGAGATTTAACCAAAGTCATGTTTTTAATGCTACGAGAACGTGTTTCTCGGCTTATTCTCAGAATAGCGTATGGATTCTGAGAATGCGTGCACCTTGTAATGAAACGTTGTAAAAACTCAAATAAACTAATACATTTTCAGATGACGCATGTATTCTCCCCAATGATTGGGTTTTCGTACCGATCGGATCGATCCTGGTTTTAGTGGTGTTTTCTCCATACGCGAAGACGTGGACTATCCCAGTTGCTGCTAAAAAGAAAGAAGAAGAATTGGCAGTAGATGCACGACATTTCCCCCAGGCATTGCTGTGCGAAGTGATGGTTTTTTCGAGAGAGTGTTTCAACGTTGTTTGAAAACTCATTGGTAAACCGCAAGCCAAGGAAGAAGAATCGAAGATGGCTCATTAAATGTAATTACTGGTCCTAAAGCGAGTAGTTAGCTAAGCAAGAGCTGATTCAATATTGATACTTGAACTTTCACAATCGTTACCTTCTCCACTACTCTGATATATTCGCCAGTATGTAATCATGACGGAAAGTGAGAGACGCTTCACCTTAAATTAATGTCATGGCCCGAGGGCTTCCTTCGTCATATCCCGTCGATTTGGTGTCGAAAGCTGGCAGTAGTCGATGATGAAGAAGCTCACAATAAACGTTCAAAGTACTGTAACGAAAATCGATAGCGTTGCGTCGTGTGTGTCGACATGCTATTATACAACTGTTTTTTTCTTTTTAATACATACGAGATTCATTTTGCGGGTGTTATTTCGAATTGACAGACGCAAGCTGGCAGGCATTACCGCTCTTTACAGAATTCTCTTAAGTCGATCCAGCCCGAAGAATCTAGACCGGTACGATTTGGACAAGATGTTGTAAATTAACAAACAGGACCTCATACATGTACTAACCCAGGTACATAAAGATTTGAAGATTGGGACTTTCCGTATTAAAGACACGTAAAAAATATAATTTAAGCCCGAGTCGGTTATTGTCAGAAACAGAATGCTTGACAACTCGATAGTTATCCGAAATGACGATGTACGCGGAGAGAGAGAGAGAGAGAGAGGGTCGCTCGGATTCTTCGTACTTTTTAATCTGCTCTCCTTCCCGTGTCGATACACCCCCTGCGCAGCCGCAGCAGCTACAAGGTCATAGTAGTTCTTTTGGAGTGGTTGCCCCCGTACTAGAGTAAATTATGCTTCTGATTATTCAGCTATGGAATCCTACTAGTATTACCATTAAATTACCACTACAGTATTGGTAATGATTCAGATAAGACGATTAACAGCAACACAACCAATGTAGGTACATTGTGAGTCTTAGCGAACTAGTTTCTGGATACCGTACTTCACGACCGCGACAGCTATTCAAAGACAAGGCGCATCACGCAATACGCTAGCACTTAAACCGATTGGTTGCATGATTGAGCTGCCACAGCTCGCAGGATTTATTGGTTGTTTCCCCGCATATTGAACATTTTCAGGAACTCATCCTCGATTTTGAAACGCCGCTCTGACCTCGGGCTTGTTGATCAGCTCCTTGATGTTGCCGTTTAGGGTCTCTGGAAAGTGGTGAGCTAGTTCTTGTAGGGGGCGCTGGTTCAGTATTTGCTATCAAATCGAAGCTGCTGTACCAACTTGGTCACGGATGGGGTTGCTGGCTTCACCATTCACTTCGGCAGAGGTTTGCAAAGTCCGCTTGAATGTTTGATTATGTTCCGTCAAGTTCAAGCTCGTCGTCGTAACGGCAGCGTTTCCGCGTGCAAAGAAAGCGGCAGTAACCAGCAGCACTATGCGAAGAGACCGCATTATGACTTGGCAGCTAAATGAGATTTTCAAAACTATCGGGTGAAGCACCGCTGCAACAAGCGTTATGCTAAGTAGAAGCAGGTGGCTTCGCTTTTTTAGGTGTAGCGTAAACGAGTAAACAACCCATCCTTGAATTTTCGGATCGGTAGATTACGTAGTTTACGGAAGGAATTTCTTATCTGAGTGGAGCTGTCCCGACTAAATTTCAATCACAACTATTTCTCTTCGTTTACTTTCTTTCTGAGCTAAATATAGAACACAATTGTATTTATAGCGTTTGGATATACACTTCAAAATTCAGTTCAAAGTGATTTAGAGCACATCAAGCGAAAAAATTACGGAGTAAAATTCGCTCATCAAATAATACCAGTAATGTGCGCACAAATGGGCGAATGCGATTGTGACAACGACTGTGCATTATTTCACGCAGAACTGAAATCGACCTTTTTTTTAGCTCACAACAATTTACTGGCTGAACAGGCAAATAATTGGCTTGGCATCGACTGACGAAGTGGTTCAAACAAAGAGCATGAGAGTGCGGTCCGGTCCAGTCTGGTCCGGCCCGGTCCAGTTTTGTTCGGCCCGGTTCAGTTTTGTCCGGTCCGGTCCGCATGATTACGGTCCGACCCACATGCAGTTTTGGTTAACATTAATCTACTCCTTTCAGATCTTACCTCCTCAACCCCAATAACATTAATTTAATTATATATATCAAATTAAAGTGTCATACCAACAGATCAACAGCCGCAAGCTCTAGTACGACGCTGACCTCAAGTACTATAATCTCCATGTCGACAAAGAGAACCGAAGTCCTTCTGGGTAGTGGAAACCGCTTCCACTAGGAGCTTAGCATGCGCACAACGCTTGTCCGGAAGAGGCTATTGTCCTTCGTGGAGGCAGTCAAACCGGAGAGCGGGATCACGGTAGCGTGGCTCATGAGCGATGCCAAGGCACTTGGTATTATCGTTCTCAGAGTGAAATTGCAGCATCAGACAAAGATACAATCTTCGATCCGGGTATGCAAGCGTGAGTAGCGCTGCGGAATTTCTACTGTCTTACGACGCTGCATTACCGTGTTGCGCTGGCATGGCGCTTTTGCCATTTCAAGATGGAGGATGGGGCGACGATGACCAAGCATCTCGACAACTTCGACGAGCGCGTTGTGGATCTGCAGACGATGAGTGGGGGGTGAGGCGCGGCAGCTAGTGGTACTGCTGAGTCACCTGCCGGAAGTGTACGAACTGACCGGGTTGGTCATCGAGAACGCGAAAGACGTATCGCTGATCGAGGTTAAGGAGAAACAACGCATGAAGGAGACCACGGAACGTGCGTTCAAGGCGAATGCAGGACTGTTAAAAGACGGTCGAAGAAACGGCAGAAAGGGGACCGGGTCGCAAAAGAACGGCAGTAGCTTCCAGGGTAAATGCTTCAAGTGTAGTAAGTTTGGTCACATAAAGCGGGTCTACACGACCCAGAACCGGGCAGTCGAGACCGAAATGGAAGTGGACCAGACGAAGAAGGAGGTCCGATTTGGACCGGTGATCGCGATGCCGATGCGGTCTTCGCGGTTGGGGAGGATTGTACGGTCAGGGTGGCAGATCGACTGTGGTGCGACATCGCTCATAACTACTCACCGGAGTGAACTCTTCCAATACGAGGCAGTATATATGGGGATCGAGGTTACGATCGCAGACGGGACACAGTTGCGGGTGGGAGGTCGCGGAGCGGTAAAGTTGACCAGTCTGGACTTCAAACGAATCGCGATGATCGCGGTGCTGTACATTCCTGGTTTGGACCGAAGGCTGATGTCGGTGGAGAAAGTGCCGAACGCGGTATAAACGTGGAGTCTCAACGGTCCTCGTGCGTGATCTGGGGTAAGACCAGCGCGATCGTGTTAGGAAAGAGGATTGAGAAAGAGTAAATTCTGGACTTCTGGGCTGTCAGGTGGAAGAAGCACGGTTTATGCAGTATGTCGGAGCCGACAATCAGTGGAAGCTATGGCATACCCGTATGGGACACCTCAGTAAGAGCCGAGACGCAACGGTCCGCAAACGATATACCGACAGTGAGCCGCGATATCAAGACGTTGTGCGGTGGCTGGGTGAAGAGGAAGCAGGCCGTGACATTGTCCCAGCCCAATATACAGCGAAGACATCGCGCGCTCAAGAACGGGCTCACACCGATGTGATGGAACCAATGAAGACGCGATCCAAGAGGAAAGCGAGGTACATTCTGACTTTGTTGAGGACAACTCGAGGTATGCGCGCGGTACTTCCTGAAAACAAGAGTGAAGTTGCGAGCACACTACTGGAGCTCAAGGTGTTCTACGATATCCTGTGGGGCGAATGGCTAAGCTGTCTGCGATCTGACAATGGATGGAAACTTGTAAACAAGAAGGTCGCGGACATATGCCAGAAGAATGGGATAGTCCATCAGCGGTCCGTTCCATACAGCCCTCAACAGAACGTAGTGGCAGAACGGATGAACAGGACCATCACGGAGAAGCCACAAACATATGCTATACTACAAGCGTGTGTCAACGGAATAGATGACGAAGACTGTATTTACTGCGATCCTCCTGATTAATCGACCGACGAACACCTAGCACTCAAACGTCACGCCGTACGAGTTGGATTCAGAGTGAAACTTACGCTGGATCACCTACAGGTATTCGGGTCGCAAGGATACGCACATATCGACGATGTTAAGCGAACGAAGCTGGAGTCCAAGCGCTTCAGGTGAACGTTCCTTAGTCACGCTGAGAGCGTAATGAGATATCGTGTGTATGCCTTGGGCGCATTCAAGGTCAAGGCTCCGATCCGCTCAGCTGGATGAGCGTGAGGTGGACGGAATATACGACACGCAGTCACCAGCTCACGAAACGGCCATGTGACGAATAACGGTGAGGCAACCGTGGTCTCGATATAAGCGTAGCATCAACCTGTCCAGGACGAGCCGATGGAAGCGGCCGAACAATCTATTCAAGACGTTGAGATGGATGAGATTGGTCCAGCCCGGACCGCACCTGCCCAGATCGCAACAAACCAGACCGCTCCGGCCAAGATCAAATCGAATTAGACCGCACTGTCCCAGCTGCC